GCGACGAGCCCGGAGCCCCCCGCGTAATTAATCGAGCGCAGGAAGCGCAAGCCCCCGCAGACAGCCCGAATCTCCTGGCCCCGCTGGAGCCAAATATTGTAAACCAGGAAAAAAAAAATGACTCCGCGGAAGGGTAGTCGACTACTCCGTGCTCGTGAGCGCGGGGTAGTCGACTACTCCGTGTTCACGAGCGCGGAGTAGTCGACTACCCCGCGGGGGTGAGCAGGGATCCCCCCACTACACAGAGGGTTCGCTACAGCAAAACCAATGATGCCTTACCGTCGGCCACTCTGTAGGACGCGGCCGGGGCCGGGACGACATCGGGCTGGGACACGGCCGGGATCTCCGAGATCCAGTCTCGCCGGAGGGTGCGCCGGGCGCCGCGGCCGCGCCACAGGGCGCTGCGGGGAACGCTCCGGGAGCGCCCCCGGAGAGCCCTGGAGCGAGCTGTCTCGGCCCCCGCCGCGCCCGGCCTTCGCCTCAGGTAGGGGCACAACAAGTGGCATAAACATAGGAACTCGGAGGTCCGCGCGGATCTCTCGGATCGGCGTTGGGGGCCCCCCCGGCGGCGCCTCCGGCACCGCCCCTGGCGCGCTCCGCGCGCCAGGCAGGGGGGTCCAGCGCCGATCCGAGAAATCCGCGCGGGCCTCCGAGTTTCTATGTTTATGCCACTGTTTGTTCCCCTATCAGCGGAGCGCGAGACTCAGGATCGGGGGACTCGGGGTTGGCCTGCCGGGGCCGTCGGGCAAACGACGAGGCCCAGTCTGAGACTTGACGCGGGCGCCCGCTGCGAGCATCCCACGAAAACGGGGCCAAAATTCTGGGCGGGCAACTTCCAAGAGCGTCGGCCCTCCCGCGTTCCGGCGAGCTCGAGTCCTACGTTTCCCCGATTCCTCGTTTGATAAGCAATAAAAGTACCCTAATCCATTGAGAGAGAACCTAAGCTAGGAGGGCCCAAAACCTTGTGGATAGGGGGTCCTTTTTTGCAGATGTATCAAACTAAATCACTCGTATGTTTAGGGGTATCCCGAAACACCGTGGACACAAGTTAGGACACGAAAGCGTTGTCATTACATCGGGTTAAGAACTGCATGATGCTTCACGGTCTCCCAGGGTCGAATCCGTAAGTCGGATTGGCGATCAAGACGAACCGGAGCGACGGAAATCGGCAGCCAAGTCGGGAGAAGCCGAATGGGCGGAAAGCGGCAGACGAATCACAAGCCCCCGCTGAGAAACCAGAATCCAGATCGGAATCCGAGGTCGCATCGAATTGGAGTCGGCGCCCAGCGAAACTTGGACCCGAATCCGAATCGGAGGCGTCGACATTCGACTATACGCAAAAGTGACCCTGGGCAAGAGCGACCTTTGGTGCGCGGACGAAGGGGCGCAGGGTGGCCAAATCCAAAGGCGCGATCAGCTGTTATCGCATCGCGCTCCACGATCGGAAGGGCCCCGAGGAGCCCGCGCCAAAGGTCACTCCGGCCAAGGGTCACTCTTACGTGTACAGTGCGGGCGCGGCCGCAAGAAACCCTCGCAAGAAACCCAACCCTGAAAACCCGCGCGCGAGGTGCGCCGGAGGGGAATCCGGGAGCGCCCTGAACGCAGCAGCCTCAGCAGCAGCTTCAACGGCTGCGGGAAGTCACCCGGGATACCCTGACGAAAAACACATGGTTTCTTGATGCGCGCCCCCACTGTCCCGGCGGCGTCTTGTGGCAGGGCTCCGAGCGAACCGCGTGGACGGTCAGACCGAGGTGAGGGCCCCCTCCTCGTCCTCCTCCTCCTCCTCCTCCTTCTCCTCCACCTCCTCCTCCTGCTCCTCCTGCTCCTCCTGCTCCTCCTCCGCCCCCACTGCAGTCGAGACATGCGCCCGCGGCCCCGCGCCCCCCCCGCGCGAGGATCCCGACGTGACCGCGGCGTAGCTCGAGGCGCCCGGCGCCCCCACGCCGGACCACATCCCTGCCCGGGGAGGGGGGGGGGCGCACGGGGAGCACCCCCAGAGGTCCAACGCACTGAAGAAATCAAGACGGAGGGTTTTCGTACACGTCGTTCATTTCTGATCGCGTTCATTTCTTAGTGTGCTCGTTTCTAATTGTTCCTGGCCCCCCAGTGGCCAGGAAGAGGCCCAGGATAGCACAATTAGAAATGACAGGATCCTGGCCCCCCCGAAAATCAAAGAACTCTCGAAGAATTAGAAATGAACGATGTGTATGTTTCGGCCTCGAGGGGCCCTCGCCGGGCCCCGGGCCCCGGGACCGTCAACAAAACGACTCGGCAGGAAAACCGTTCCGGGGGAATGGGTTGAGCATCGTTTATCCGTTCCCCATCCCCAGCGGCTTGGCCTGGGCCCCACTGGCCGATTCACCCCCCTAGATGGGGATATAAGCCGTTCCCTTCGGGTTTCGAGGGGTGTATTCCCAACTGGGGGGGTAATTTGGTGGGGGCCTCGAAGGGGATGGGGATGGGGATGGGGATGGGGATGGGGATCGGATAAACGATACCGATGGGTCGAGACTTCCACGACATCGGATCTCTGGGACTGGGGCTCTGGGGCAGCGCAGGGCGAGAAGCACTGTCCGGGAGCAGAGGCGGGTCAGGGAAGCGGGCGAGACATCCAGGGGCCTAAGGAGCCGGTCGTTTCAGGACTCGCGGCAGAGGGCGTGATCGGGAGAGGGCGGGGAGGAGGTCGTCCCCGCCCCGATCACATCACGGCGGGGGGGCGCCAGAAATCTTGGGAACCCCTAGAAGAATCCGCCGGAAATCTGTGCACATGTGGGCAACATAGCGCGACGTGATCCGGGGGGGGAGAGGGGAGGGAAAGGTGGAAGGTTCCAAAGGGGGTTTTGGGGGACGAGGTTTTCCAGGAGGGGTCCCCCAGGGGCTTCGCACCCCTTTTTTTCACGAGGTTCCGAGGCCCCTGGGGAGCTCTCTGGAAGACCCCCTCCCCCAACAAAACCCTTTGGAACCCTCCTGTTCGATGCGTGGGCCCTGGAAGTCTGGACCACTTCCCTTGGGCCACTTCCTCGTCTTGAATAACTGTTGCACGGTCCCGAGGCCCGGCGAGGGCCCACGGAGGCCGAACACAGCCAGAAGCCAGCCACTGTGCAATTCTTGTGGGGCGTCGGATTGCTGTGCACGCTGGGGATTTGGTGGTTCTCGGGGGTTGCTCAAGGTGCCCCTGGCCCAAGTTAAGGTCGGGCATGATCTCCTACAGGCGGACTTTGGAAGACAAATCAGAAATAGTTAAGACATGTTCAAGAATTGTCAACATATACGAGAAAAGCCATCGCCTGACCATGTATGGGCTATTTTTGAACTTTCCTCCTTTAGAAGGACGTGCCCGAGTTAGGCCCAAGGTGCCCCCAACTTCCTGTTCAAATTCTGGAGCTCCTGGGTGCCCTCTGGGCTCCTCGAGGGGCGAGCGCCTGGGGGCCGTGGGGGCCTCCTTGCAAAATCCTGTGGGCACGAGGAGGAGGCGGAGGAGGAGGAGGAGGAGGAGAAGGAGGAGGAGGAGGAGGATGAGGAGGAGGGAGGAAGATGAGGAGGAGGAGGAGGAGGGGAGGAGGAGAGGAGAGGAGGAGGAGAAGGAGGAGGAGGAAGAAGGAGAAGGAGGAGGAGGAGGAGGAGGAGGAGGAGGAGGAGGCGGAGGAGGAGGAGGAAGGAGAGGGAGGAGGGGAGGAGGAGGAGGAGGAGAGGAGGAGGAGGAGAGGGGAGGAGAGGAGGAGGGAGGAGGAGGAGGAGGAGGAGGAGGAGGAGGAGGAGGAGGAGGATTTTTAACATGAACCATGACTGGCAGCTCCAGGTCTGCCAGGAAATAAAACCTTGGCGGTGACTGGGCGGGACGGGCCACACGGACACCACGGCGCCAAGGACGGAGGAGCCACAAGGCCCCCGCGGCTTACACGAGCAGCTTGCCAGGAGCCTCGGCCTACACAACTCCACGAGGTATCGCAGTGCTCTGTGCCTGACCCGCCAAACCCTCGTCTGGGGCCTGGCGGGAGCTTCACTAGATGGTATTGCGACCAGAAAAGAAAAACCTCCACCCCACGAGAAGAGCAGGCGGGGTGGGGGTGAGCGACGGTCGGGGCGTGCGATGGGTTCAGATCCCAACCGGACGCGTGAGATCCCAACCGGACGGTTCAGATCCCAACCGTCCAAAACACCAGGCACGGTCAGATCCCAACCGAGAAGGAAGCGAATCAAGAAAACATATTGACATGTTACCATACTTGTTCACTGCTATCTGAAATTGCGATGAACACCTTACAGGACCAGCTTTACGCCTGAATTACCGCGGTTGGGATCTCGCGCGTCTTTTGCTGGATCGTAGGAATGGTAGAAGTCGTAGTGGTAGTTTTAGTAGTAGTAATACTAGTACTAAAGGTATTATTATTATTATTAATATTATGATTATTAGTAGTAGCAGTAGTAGTAGTAGTAGTAGTAGTAGTAGTAGTAGTGGTAGTAGTAGTAGTAGTAGTAGTAGTAGGCGTAGTGGTAGTAGTAGTTGTAGCAGTAGTAGTAGTAGTCGTAGTAGTAGTAGTAGTCGTAGTAGTAGTCGTAGTAGTAGTAGTAGTAGTAGTAGTAGTAGTAGTAGTAGTGTAGCTAGTAGTAGTAGTAGTAGTAATAGTAGTAGTAGTAGTAGTAGTAGTGGTAGTAGTAGTAGTAGTAGTAGTAGTAGTAGTAGTAGTAGTAGTAGTAGTAGTAGTAGTAGTAGTAGTAGCGTAGTTAGTAGTAGTAGTAGTAGTAGTAGTAGTAGTAGTAGTAGTAGTAGTAGTAGTAGTAGTTGTTGTAGTGGTAGTAGTATCAGTCGTAGTAGGAGTAGAAGTAGTAGTAGCAGTAGTAGTAGTAGTAGTAGTAGTAGTAGTATGAGTAGTGAAAGTAGTAGTCGTAGCAGTAGTAGTAGCACTAATGGTAGTAGTAGTAGTCGTAGTAGTAGTTGCAGTAGTAGTGGTAGTCGTCGTAGTAGTTGTAGTAGTAGAAGTAGTAGTGGTAGTAGAAGTGGTAGTAGTAGTAGGGGTAGGGGTAGGAGTAGGAGTAGCGGTCGTAGTAGTAGTGGTCGTAGTCGTAGTGGTAGCAGTAGTACTACTACTAGTACCGTCGTAGTCGTAGTACTAGTACTACTAGCAGTAGTAGTAGTAGTAGTAGTAGTAGTAGTAGTAGTACTAGTAGTAGTAGTAGTAGTGGTAGTAGTAGTAGTAGTAGTAGTAGTAGTAGTAGTAGTAGTTGTAGTAGTATTAATCGTAGTAATAGTAACAGCAATCGTAGTAGTAGTAGGAGTAGTAGTAGTAGTGGTAGCAGCATGTAGTAATAGTAATAGTACTAAGAATCATAGCAGGCAGAGTAGCAGTACTAGACATGATATTGGTGGTAGTAGTAGTAGTAGTAGTAGTAGTAGTAGTAGTAGTAGTAGTAGTAGTAGTGGTCGTGGTAGTGGTAGTAGTATTAGTCGTAGTCGTAATATTGGTAAAAGTAGTAGTAGTAGTAGTAGTAGTAGTAGTAGTAGTAATAGTAGTAGTAGTAGTAGTGGTAGTAGTTGTAGTAGAAATAGTACTAGTAGCAGTAATAGTAGTAATAGTAGTAGTAGTAGTAGTAGTAGTAGTAATAGTAGTAGTAGTAGTACTAGTAGTAGTAGTAGTAGTAGTAGTAGTAGTAGTAGTAGTAGTAGTAGTACGTGTGGAGGGCGTAGCAGCATTTTTAATTGTAGTTTCAATACAACTCATAGTATTAGTAGTAGTACTTGTGGAGGGTATAGTATTACAAATAGTAGTGGTAGTACTAGTATTAGTACTGTAGTAGTAGTAGTAGTAGTAGTAGTATAGTGATACTAAGAATATTACATGTAGTACGTAGAATGTGTAGTAGTAGTAGTAGTAGTAGTAGTAGTTCGTAGTCGTAGTAGTAGTAGTAGTAGTAGTAGTAGTAGTAGTAGTAGTAGTAGTAGTAGTAGTAGTAGTAGTAGTAGTAGTTAAGTAGTAGTAGTAGTAGTAGTAGTAGTAGTAGTACTACTACTAGTAGAGTAGTAGTAGTAGTAGTAGTAAAGTAGTAAGTAGTAGTAGTACTAGTACTAGTAGTAGTAGTAGTAAGTAGTAGTAGTAGTAGTAGTAGTAGTAGTAGTAGTAGTAGTACTACTACTACTACTACTACTACTACTAGTAGTACTAGTAGGAGCAGAAGCTCTCAGAATCTCTCAGAATCTCTCAGGAAGCTCTCAGAATCTCTCAGATGCTCTCAGAATCTCTCATAAGCTCTCAGAATCTGTCAGAAGCTCTCAGAATCTCTCAGAACCTTCAGAATCTCTCAGAATCTCTCAGAACCTCTCAGAATCTCTCAGAATCTGTCAGAATCTCCCAAAATCTCTCAGAATCTCTCAGAATCTCTCAGAATCTCTCAGAATCTTTCAGAATCTCTCAGAATGTCTCAGAATCTCTCAGAATCTTTCAGAATCTCGCAGAATCTCTCAGAGGCCCGCAGTGGCTCTCAGAACCTTGCCGAAGTTGGAGCTTTTCAGAGGCTCCAAAGTGGTTGGGACCTCACGCGCCCCACGTGTCCTTGACGGTTGGGATCTCACGCGTCCAGTTGGGATCTGAACCTTTCTCCGGGGCGGCCTGGCTTTCCAGGTCCACCCCCGCGCCCGCGGCTCCCACTGAGCTGCCGTTGCGCATCTGTCGCCAGGGGGGCCCGCAAGGGCCACCCAAGCCGTGCAACAGGGACAGCTGCCGCAAAGAAGGAAAAAGGGAAGGGAAAGACAACGCCGGCAGGAAGAACCCCAAGGCTCGGGTGCCAGGGCTGGCTGCGTAACCAGCACCTCCGGCCAGAGCGCCAGCCCAACCCCGCCAGAAACCCCAGCCTGAGCCAGGGAGAAAAGAGAGCCACCAGGGGCAGAGCATCGGTCGGGGCGGACTGACGAAACCAATCAACCCCCGTGCCAGAAGCCCGCAGGGTGAGCCCCTCCACTA